ATCCCACATGCCGCGGAGCGGCTGGGCCCGTGAGCCATGGCCACTGAGCCTGCGCGTCCGGAGCCTGTGCTCCGCAAATGGGAGAGGCCACAACAGTGAGAGGCCCGCATAACGCAAGAAAAAAAATAAAAAAAATAAATAAATAAATAAAAAATAAAAAAAAACTATTTAACTTGGACATGTCCTATATTTACATAAATTTTCATGTAAAAATACTTTGCTTAATCAAAGTGTTATAAGTACAGTAGATATAAAATATTTTGTTATAGCTAGTACATGTCACTTCATTAATCTTTATCAAGAGATTTTAGCTGTTCTCATACTTCTCTCTTATCCAAATCAACATTAGCCTCAGAGCAGCAATTAAAACAAGCTTTTTTTTAACTTTTTTTGTGAATGTGCTCTAATTAATTTGTGTATAATCTGTCCAGATACCTTTATGCATTTTAATAAGAAATCAGACATTAGGTTTCAGCGGGGCTTAGTACATTTAAAAAAATCATTTAGTCATGATTTAAGCTGTGTGCACTTAAATAATCTGTATGTGCACTTTGTGTGTGTGTGTGTGTGTATGTGTGTGTGTATCATGCACCAAGTGCATACAGATGCCAGGCACTGTGCTAAATGCTTTACATGTATTATCTAATCCAATCCTTATGAAAACCCTCTGAGATAAGTGCTATTGTTACCCACATTTCCCAGATGAAATGACAGGCTTAGGGATGTAAGCTGTCCAAGGTCACACAGCAAGGAGGTGAAACAGGCATAGAGCCCAGGCTGGCTGACACCAGAACCTCTGTGTTTAATCGCTGTGTATTCACAAAGAATACCAGTGTATAAATAACTTTGAAAAATCATATTTATTAAATAAGGACATTAGCAACACTGTAAAATTGCTCAGACTTGTAAAGAATGTAAAATTCTGTTGGTGGATGACAGCAAAGACATTGCGGATTATTCGTTCAACTCAATTGAACAAGTGTCCGTGGACTGCTGATTACTGTGCCACGTTCCATGCCAGGCTCTGAGCTGTTGAAGGGGATTAGATGTAGTTTCTGCCCACAGTCTAGAGGGGCTAATGACATGCAAATAACTGGGGAGAGGTGGCCAAGTCTGGGAACCAATTTGAGTCATATGAATAATGTTTTGATAAATTTGTTCTACTTTTTTAAACATTTCTTTTTATTTCATATTATTAAAGAGAAAATCAAGGGTAGAAAGATTATTAAGAAGAGCCAATTGTAGTCTAATCTAAAATATACATTATAATTTAAAATTCACCTTTTTCCACTTCTAATGACAGAATTGTGGTTATTGCCTTTACTCTGTACATATAATCTTCATCTTAAATATTTTCTAAGAATAATTTACTGATTTAATTGCTCCCATCAAGCCATTAACTTGGCAGGTTCACTTACCATCTGTGAGGAAACAGCAGGTGGAATTTTATTCAAAACACTATTCAGTTATATTCAAAATACCTTTAAAGTACTTTGAAAGAAAAAAAATTGGCCCTTTGAAAAAAATGGCTTGATTAAAGGAAGATTTTGTGAGCAAAATCAAATAAATTGTGGTAGTTGGAGAGATCTTTAGGAATTCCTAGAATTGAACGAAATAGTTGATACTTTTTATATGAGGGAGGAGCTTCAAGGAAGTTTTTAAAGAAGCAATGTAAAATGGATTCTGATTGATGGCAAGTTTGAACTAAAACTAAAGCCACTGATTCTTATTTTAATTCTGGGCCTTACCTCTACCCCATGTCCCACCCCCATCCCCATTCTGAGCCACAAGGAAGGAGCAAACTCTGCTATAGACCTTGAAAAGCTGAGGTAGCAATTACAGAAAATGACTCCTAGGGCTGAGAAGTAGACATCAGGTGAAGATGAAGCCTGGTTCTGGTGATGTCAAGAAGCTCACTAAAAGCCTTCTTTTAATGTAACAAGGACTGTTACATATTCAAATATGGTTAATAAGACAGCACAATTCATCTATTTTCCTTGCTCCCTCTCCCCTCTCCCCTATCTGTAAATATAATATTGAGGAAATTCTGACCTGAATATGTTGTTGAAACATGTCTCCGGTTCCAGAGGAAATTCTACTGAAAGCATCAAGCATGCTATTGGAGTTGGATTTATCTGGAACAAAGAACTTTAAACCTCCTGAAATACACAACTGGGATGTTAGCTATTAAAATGTATAAAGTAAAACAAAAGATAAAGTGATAGGCCTTGTCTAACAAACTTCCTTTGCTTAAGAGGGTGAGTTTGGGGAAAGCAGGAGCTGTGCTTGACTTGCTTTGCACAGCATCCTATACGACCACATGGTGAGCAGGCACCCCAAGGCAGTGGTTTTGTTTGTTCTATTCACGGCTGTAATTGTAGGGTCTAGAGCTCTACCCAGTATGCGATAAAAACTCAATAAATATTTAATTAAGGTAATTTCTAGACAATCTAGGTTAATTGCTACCCATTTATATTGCTGTATGTTTACAGTTACATTCTGAAAACATTATTTTCAAACATGATTCAATAAAACCTAGCTTTCAGTTTTCAAGTTAGCATATGCATTTTTTATTCAATGTGAGGAATATAAGATAAAATTATTCTGTGCCTCATTTAGAACAAAAAACGTTATGTGTGTAATATTGTATGTCTCCTTATCATAGAAGCTAGTGCATTTAAACATACTTTTAGCTCCATGATTATACATGCTCAGGCTGGTTTAACAAAGAAGTAATAATATTTTCATTAGATGTATATAATTGGCACTTTCTAAGGAAAGTATAAAAAAGCAAATTTTTGACAGAATTTAGCAATGATTTTATTTTGTGTTTTTTCTTAAGAAAACTGTTCATAGTTTTTTCAATTAAGCCATGTATTCTGTTGACATAATCTGAGTTTCATGGTGGTTCTTTGAATATTCAAGTTAAAAGGAAATGCTCTAAAATATGTTGCTAGAAATTTACCTACCTGTAAGATGTGATAATTCCTCCAGGTTTTTGACTGCAGATGAACCCAGGGCAATGGTATGAATAGTTGAACCACTGCTGAGCACGGTGAGGAAGCAGTTGGTGACATGCTCATCATCTCCACTGGTCACTAGTATCATCACAGAGCCGAAGGCTTTTCCATTCAGTTTTTCAACCATCTGAACACAGGGTATCATTCATTTGGAAGGAAATGTGATTCAGATTGCCTTATTGAGCAGGAGAATTCACTCTCATTCCAAATTCCCCACCAGGGGGGCATATTCCTCTTCCAGGTCCTTTCTAACTTCCCACACTCTCCATGCCCATCTCCACTCAGTCCTCACCTCACCCCATCACAGCACTTGTCACCCTACATGCCATTGCCTGCTTACTTATGGGTAGGACTTCTTCCTGTTCAAATCACTATGAGATACCTCTAGTTTAGAATAATGTCTATCATAGAGGATGTGGGAGAACATTATTATGTGAGATCCTTGCTTCTGAGATCCAATAAGTGGCCAATAAAAGGACCTTGAGCAGTGTTTCTCAACCTTGGCTATACATTGGAATTGGATGAGAACTTAAAAATTTTTTTAATGGCCAGCTCACACCCAAGATCAATTAAATCAGAATCTCTGGGGGTGAGATGCAGGCATTGGAATTTTGAATCCCCAGCTGATTTCAATGGGCAGCCAATGTTGAGAAACTCTTGGCTGTAGAAAGTAACAATTGCAATTGTGTTCTGCCTGCTACCAGATGTTTAACACATGGCTGTATCCTCAGTGTCGAATCCACACTTATGCTGATTGAGGTGAACTCCGTTATTCTTGAAACATACCTCTGACCTTAACTGATATTCATATGCTTGAGGTCTAGTATGACTATAGGCAGGAGGCCAGACATGCTGATTCTGATTGGAAAACCCGAGGGTAACAACAGCCACAGATGGAACAGTCCCAGATGGATAGGGACAGTGTTAGAAATTTTTCTGATGATGCTGAAGTCCCCCAGCCTTGATCATTGTATTCAATTATTTACTCATTCCTTCAAGAAATTTTTCTTAAGCAACTATTACATGCCCTTTACTAGGCACAGGGGATTCAGTGGTGAGAAAGTCATGGTCCCTGACCTTAAAGATAATCCATCATTACTTTCCTATACTTGAGACTCATGACCATATTGTAACAGATTGCCCCAAATCAGAAGCAACCTCAGATACAAAGTGAGGGAAAGGAAAGTGATGGGAAAGGAAAGTGATGGTGAGGCTTGGGGTGCTCTACTGTACCTCAAATCCCTTCTTCAGCCCTGAGCAGATGCTGGTTTCTGCTTCAGCTGACACAGTGGCAGGCAGATAGGAAACCAGCAGCTTTCGGTCATCATCATTGTTAATTTGGTGCAGCTGGGCTCTGATTGTCCCTTTGCTATTAAAACTAGCAATGCCCACAAAGGTATGAATTTCAACAATCTGCATCAAGTAAAATTCTGCTGCTTGTTGCAGTTGAAGGAGTCTGTCAGCCTATGTTGCAGAAAGGAAAAAAGAAAGGTAACAACATTTGGTTGGTAGACAAAAGTATAACTAAGTAACTCAATTAGCAAATATCTCTGCTAATTCTTTAGAGATGTCAGACTGTGATTTTTTGAGTTGTAAAGATTGACACTATGCTAGGGCTTCCCTGGTGGCGCAGTGCTTGAGAGTCCGCCTGCCGATGCAGGAGACGCGGGTTCGTGCCCCGTTTCGGGAAGATCCCACATGCCGCGGAGCGGCTGGGCCCGTGAGCCATGGCCACTGAGCCTGCGCGTCCGGAGCCTGTGCTCCGCAAATGGGAGAGGCCACAACAGTGAGAGGCCCGCATAACGCAAGAAAAAAAAAAAAACACACTGCTAAATCACTAGCACGGGAAGAAAACATTTATAACCTACATGTACCATCACCATGTGTTTTGAATGAAAAGCCAAACGAGCGGCTGGGCCCGTGAGCCATGGCCACTGAGCCTGCGCGTCCGGAGCCTGTGCTCCGCAAATGGGAGAGGCCACAACAGTGAGAGGCCCGCATAACGCAAGAAAAAAAAAAAAAAAAAAAAGATTGACACTATGCTAGAATATTGTTTGATTAAATGCAGGCTCAAAAATGAATGCTTTTCGGCGGGGTGGGGGTTGGTTTGGAACTCTGCCCCTAAGAAGCTGTCCATGATTTACCATTCCATAAGAGCACATACATCCACTATTTCTCTCCTACCTGATTCAAAGATCTGTAGAACCAATAGAGACTTGGTTTGTAATTGCTTCTTTTAAAATTCATCCTGGGTAAGAGGAAACATTGCAAAGATCTTATGGTAGAGAGGAACAGCAGTCAGGCATCTATCCTGGCACTACTCTCTGTTATCATGTTTATCTTAGGCTGGGCATTCCATCTGTAAAGTGAGGGTAATAATAATCTTTCTTACTTGCTAAAATAGAATTACTGTGAGGATCAACTGAGATATGTATATGACAATAGTTACACCTTGAATAAATATAAAGTAATGTTAGTGACCACATTTGGGCAGGTGATACTAGTGATGAATTCATTAGGGTCACTTATTTTGAAGGCTGTGGGAGCAGCAAGCTGAGCTTCAATGACCACCTGTTCAGTGAATGATTGTGGTCTCTATATCCAACCTAGACATCTCCCTTAACATCTGGACCTGCATTTCACACTGCTTAGGAAACACCACCAATTTAACCTCTCACAGGTATCTCAAACTCTATACACTTTGAATTCATTGCCCCCCTTCCCAAATACTGTTTCTCTTACAATATTGAGAGGTAAATTGGTAGAGTGGATAAAACAAGGACTTTGAATCCTGCCTTCAACTTTTACTAGTAATGTGACCATAGAGAAATTACTTATCTCTTTTAGCTTCAGTTTTCTCATCTGCAAAATGGGTACATAGTAAGTACTTAGTAAATACTAAGTATTGATAACAACATGGTCATGACCTCTACTCCTAACTAGTGAAGCCAGAAACCTGGAACTCTCTTTTATTATTCCTGTGTTACCAGCCTCCATATCCTTGAACAGGTCATATCAATATGTCTTAAATTTCTCTCAAATTCATACCATCATTCATTTCATCATTCATTTTCATCTTATCTGTCATTTTTCTAGCCCAAGCCACTGTTAGTTATATCCATACCAATTGATGTACTTCCCCTGAAAAAATTCTACTAATTTTGCCTCTCAGCCACCTGCATACACTATGCTCTTCACTGGAATGCCTCCCCTCACCTCATCCAACTGGCAAATATCTACTTATGCTTCAAGACTCAACTCCAAGTTCATCCTCTCAGTGCAGTCTTCCTCAATCACTCTCCTATAACCCAGATGCTGCCAATGCCTCCACAGCAATTCACACCTCTGTGGAGCCTTGTCACATTGTATTGTGTTTATTCACATGTGTGTGTTGTCTCCCTCATCAGATTGCGAGCATTTCAAAGCAGACTCTATTCTGTCATCTCTGTATCCCTGAATGAATGGTCGTGATGGTTCAGTGACACTATTGGCAGGAAAAGGGAGAGAAGTTTTCTTTGCCGTGAGCTTGCTACTTTAGGCTTATTTCTCTTCTACTTCTCTCAGGTCTTCTTTCAAGTACAACTATCTTTCCCTTTCACTCCATCTGTTCTTGCTCAACAGAGGCAGATAGTCAATATAAATTACTCTGAGATCATATTTGAAGATCATACCCTAGTCAACTGCAGGTAGGCAAGATTACAAAATTATCTAGATGCTGAATGTATTAGTGGTATTCCTCATATTTTAGAGACAAGCCAAAAAGGCAAATTTTCCAGGACTACTGATCCAGAGACTACAAGAGGATAAACTCTCCCTTAGGACAAGTACTATAATAAAATAACAGTTGTCACATATAAACCAGAAGCCTCATATTCAGTATCTCATTTTCCCTTTCAACAACACTATGAAGTAGTTAGTGGTGCGCTGGTAAAAGTTTAAAAACTGGCTTTCTGGTAAAAAGAGAGAGAGGGAGAACCCTGGATTTGTTGCAATTTCTATGGGGTAAATATTCTCACTGTGGCTGATTTAAGCTGTCAACCTGACATGGCTGAGTGCAAAGTTGGGAAGAGATATGTAGGAGCAGAGTCATAGAGATGATAGACCAGAAATAACCTCAGGAGCCTAGATCTGGGATCAGCAGACATTTTCTGTGAAGGATCCGATAGTAAATATTTTAGGCTTGGTGGGACATATATTGTCTTTTGCAACTACTTAACTCTGCTATTTTAGTACTGAAGCAGCCATAGATAATATGTAAACAGATGAGCATTGCTCTCTCCCAATAAAATTTTACTTATGGATGCTAAAATTTGAATTTCATATAATTTTCATGTGTCCTGAAATTTTATTATTCTCTTGATTTTTTTCTAAACCCATTCTTAATTTGCAGGCTATGCAAAAGCAGGTAGTTACTGACTCTGGGCATAGATAATAGTAAGAATAGTAGAAAAATAATTAGGAAGTAATGAGTTTTGAGCATTTATTATGCTTATTTCAATATATTTTATTTAATTATAACTACATAATTTATTTTTTAATAATGGCTATATTTACAACTGGCTTGCAAATTTCCTGAAAATTTAACAATTGAATCCTGTGAGCCAGTATGAACTGTCTCTGTCACAACAATGAAATAGGTATTGTTATCTCTGTTTTACAGATGAGAAAACTGAGCTTCAGAGAGGTTATTTGCTCTTGATTACACAGACAGTAGATGAAGGAGCCAGGACTTAAAGCACATCTGCCTGATTCCAGAGACTAAACCTCTAATTACTGTCTAAGAATTCTGGAGCTTTGGAGAATGGGTTTCTAGAAGGCTGCCAGATTGCCAGATGAGTGAGATATGTTTCTCTGTACACAATGACATAGAAAATACACACATAATGGATATGCACACTCACTGCAAACTCAGTCTATTGCCTCGGCCATGGTTGTTTACCAGTGAGTGGAATGTGGTCAGAAAGGAGCCTTCCGCTACATGTCAGAGTTTTGGAAAGGGTTTTGGTTGGAAAAGGTTGCAATTAGTAGCAATAAAGAGGGCTGGGAATTACCTGTGGATTTCATTTATCTGCATTACCTCAATATCTGGGCCACATTCTGAATTTGTTTCTCTCATACCCAAGAAGAGATGATGCCCATGACTATTCCAAACGTTTGGCCTCACCCTTCCCTTCCCTTCCCCTCTGAAAAGAAAAAGAATTAAAAACTGATAGAAAAAAGTGATGGTTAACAATTATTTTGGTTCAAATGTTACCTTTGCCATCTTGCTGGACACATCCAGCACTAAACAGACCACTTTGTCGCCAGCCTGTATGAGAGAGAATGTGGGAGGAGGCGGAAGCTCAGTCCCTTTCATGGGAAAACTGTTATTAAAGTCGTCAGAGTCTGTGATTACATCCCACGTACTTCTGAGGCTGCACATTTGGTTCTGCAGGTTTGGAGCCTCTTGGGTGTGGGTACTTGCATTACAGAATTCAACCACCTAGAAAAAGAATAAAATAAAAGTACTCAGAAAATAATCAGAAAATAAAAGTACTCCTCTCATACTAGACATACTTCTCATTCTCAAACAAGTAAAAGTAAGAGGAAAGGTGAGCTGAAACATGATAAATCAGAAGTGCTACAGCTATGTCATTCTTTACTTCAAGAATGCCATTGAATTTACAGATAAACCTTGGCACCCTTTGCTTGAAACTCTGGCACCCATGTGGTACTGAGGTCAACCTCTATTAAAGTTTTCTTGCGCTTAGGTAACAGAGAGTAGACCGTGTATAAATATCTTAGGCTTTAAAAAAATAAAACAAACTGTCATCTTCCTTAGCATGATAATGTGTTAAAGAAAACACCCCAGGAGATGTTATGTTATCTTGATCAGCCTATTCCTTGGGATCATATTTAATAACCACTGCACCTTTATCTATTGATCAATAAACCTATATTGAGCTAGTTCAAATATTGACCACTGTAAGATTACGATAAGGAGAAAACCAACTTAAATCTACTTCCTGATCTTTCTCCCCATTTGGAGATATAGCCATAATTCATACAATAATACTAAACCTAGGCAGCACCTCTTTTAAAGGCATGATTTGCATTGCAAAGTAATGTGTTATCTACTTCCCAGTGGCTATATTCCTACAAACAGTAGATGCTTCCTGCTAACAGAGCTATGGAAGCTGAGGTAAAAGAAATCTTACAGATTCTCTAGCCCCAACTCTAATTTCTTAGAAAAGGAAGCTGAAGCTTCTAAAAGTTAATAATTGCATAAGAACATGAGTTTCTTAGTAGGATGGGGAGATATGATAGAACCTGTTTTGTTGTTTTTGTTTGTATGTTTGTTTTTAACTCTTTTCTTTATATTTCATGACTGTGGTTAGGAGATGGTAAAAGTTTTCTGACTGGATATTAATGAGTAGGTGTTTCAAATGACCAGAAAGATAGTACCTAGCCACAAACAATGTGGATGAAATAACATGGGATTAGCTTGGCTTCAGATATTAAAGGCTGTAAATTAAGTTAAAACCATAATGAATTGGAAAAGAAATATGAAAAAGCACCTTAAAGTTACAGAATGACTCTTAGCCTTGGCTAAAACCAGACTGAAGAAAAAAAATTATCTAAAAAAAGAATGTGTCAATCCAAGGAACATTGGGTTAGTCATAGAAACAGAAAACTTCACAGAGAGACTGCCCACAGTGTTCCCAGCTCAATGGAGAGGACGTGACCCACAGATGTGATGAAGTTGGAAAAATGTATCAGGTTATAAAGGCTGATGTGACTAAATCTCTGCATCTCCTAACTCCCTCCTTTCTGATTCCACACTCTCGAAATAGGCCTCTGGGTAGAATCTGGCTGTTCCGTGCTGCTTCTGTCAGAGAGAAAATGAACTGGCTAGAGAATGCGAGTGTCAGAGTACTCTTTTTAATAATTTAAAAAATGTGTTCTGGATTCCTACACAAGTCTCTTGTCAGTTAGCGTGGAATACTGACAAGATTGAGTTTCTGAACCTGCAAAGCTAAGGGTTAGTTGACTTCCCTTGGTAACACCTGACTTTTCTTTTTAAGTTCTAGAATATGCAAAACAAGGGAAAG